CTGGTCTATTTTTTTCAGATAAACCTGATTTTGCACAATACTTTCTGGCTGTAGACGTGGATTTTTGTTAGTCCAACCAGTTGAATTTTAATAAACCACGATTACGCGCAACACAAAGTTGTAAAATCAATGTCCATTTTTTTCATGTAAACCTGATTTTGCAAAATACTTTCTTGGTGTAGACGTGGATTTTTATTAGTCCTACCAGTTGAATTTTAATAATCCACGATTACGCGCAACACAAAGTTTTAAAATCATGGTTCATGGTCTGTTTATTTCATGTAAACCTGATTTTGCAAAATACTTTCTTAGTGTAGACGTGGATTTTTGTTAGACCAATCAGTTGAATTTTAATAATCCACGATTACGCGCAACACAAAGTTGTAAAATCCTGGTCTTTTTTTTTCAGATAAACCTGATTTTGCAAAATACTTTCTGGCTGTAGACGTGGATTTTTGTTAGTCCAACCAGTTGAATTTTAATAATCCACGATTACGCGCAACACAAAGTTGTAAAATCATGGTCTGTTTATTTCATGTAAACCTGATTTTGCAAAATACTTTCTTAGTGTAGACGTGGATTTTTGTTAGACCAACCAGTTGAATTTTAATAATCCACGATTACGCGCAACACAAAGTTGTAAAATCCTGGTTTATTTTTTTCAGGTAACCCTGATTTTGCACAATACTTTCTGGCTGTAGACGTGGATTTTTGTTACTCCAACCAGTTGAATTTTAATAATCCACGATTACGCGCAACACAAAGTTGTAAAATCCTGGTCTATTTATTTCATGTAAACCTGATTTTGCAAAATACTTTCTTAGTGTAGACGTGGATTTTTGTTAGACCAACCAGTTGAATTTTAATAATCCACGATTACGCGCAACACAAAGTTGTAAAATCCTGGTCTATTTTTTTCAGGTAACCCTGATTTTGCAAAATACTTTCTTAGTGTAGACGTGGATTTTTGTTAGACCAATCAGTTGAATTTTAATAATCCACGATTACGCGCAACACAAAGTTGTAAAATCCTGGTCTATTTTTTTCAGATAAACCTGATTTTGCAAAATACTTTCTGGCTGTAGACGTGGATTTTTGTTAGTCCAACCAGTTGAATTTTAATAATCCACGATTACGCGCAACACAAAGTTGTAAAATCATGGTCTGTTTATTTCATGTAAACCTGATTTTGCAAAATACTTTCTTAGTGTAGACGTGGATTTTTGTTAGACCAACCAGTTGAATTTTAATAATCCACGATTACGCGCAACACAAAGTTGTAAAATCCTGGTCTATTTTTTTCAGATAAACCTGATTTTGCACAATACTTTCTTAGTGTAGACGTGGATTTTTGTTAGACCAACCAGTTGAATTTTAATAATCCACGATTACGCGCAACACAAAGTTGTAAAATCCTGGTCTATTTATTTCAGATAAACCTGATTTTGCAAAATACTTTCTGGCTGTAGACGTGGATTTTTGTTAGTCCAACCAGTTGAATTTTAATAATCCACGATTACGCGCAACACAAAGTTGTAAAATCATGGTCTGTTTATTTCACGTAAACCTGATTTTGCAAAATACTTTCTTAGTGTAGACGTGGATTTTTGTTAGACCAACCAGTTGAATTTTAATAATCCACGATTACGCGCAACACAAAGTTGTAAAATCCTGGTCTATTTTTTTCAGATAAACCTGATTTTGCACAATACTTTCTGGCTGTAGACGTGGATTTTTGTTAGTCCAACCAGTTGAATTTTAATAAACCACGATTACGCGCCACACAAAGTTGTAAAATCAATGTCCATTTTTTTCATGTAAACCTGATTTTGCAAAATACTTTCTTGGTGTAGACGTGGATTTTTATTAGTCCTACCAGTTGAATTTTAATAATCCACGATTACGCGCAACACAAAGTTTTAAAATCATGGTTCATGGTCTGTTTATTTCATGTAAACCTGATTTTGCAAAATACTTTCTTAGTGTAGACGTGGATTTTTGTTAGACCAATCAGTTGAATTTTAATAATCCACGATTACGCGCAACACAAAGTTGTAAAATCCTGGTCTTTTTTTTTTCAGATAAACCTGATTTTGCAAAATACTTTCTGGCTGTAGACGTGGATTTTTGTTAGTCCAACCAGTTGAATTTTAATAATCCACGATTACGCGCAACACAAAGTTGTAAAATCATGGTCTGTTTATTTCATGTAAACCTGATTTTGCAAAATACTTTCTTAGTGTAGACGTGGATTTTTGTTAGACCAACCAGTTGAATTTTAATAATCCACGATTACGCGCAACACAAAGTTGTAAAATCCTGGTCTATTTTTTTCAGGTAACCCTGATTTTGCACAATACTTTCTGGCTGTAGACGTGGATTTTTGTTAGTCCAACCAGTTGAATTTTAATAATCCACGATTACGCGCAACACAAAGTTGTAAAATTATGGTTAATTTTTTTTATGTTAACCTTATTTTGCAAAATTATTTCTTGCTGTAGACAAAGATATTTGTTAGTTCAACCAGCTGATTTTTAATATTCCACGATTACGGGCAACACAAAGTTTTAAATTCCTGGTCTATTTTGTTCAGGAAAACCTGATTTTGCAAAATACTTCCTTGGTGTAGACTTGGATTTTTATTAGTCCCGACAGTTGAAGTTTATAAATCCAGGATTAAGCGCTTAATCCTGGATTTATATATATACTTCAACTGTCGGGACTAATAAAAATCCACGTCTGCACCAAGAAAATATTTTGCAAAATCAGGTTTAACTGAAAAAAATAGAACAGGATTTTACACCTTTGTGTTGCGCGTAATCGTGAATAATTAAAATTCAACTGGTTGGTCTAACAAAAATCCACGCTTTATATATATACTTCAACTGTCGGGACTAATAAAAATCCACGTCTGCACCAAGAAAGTATTTTGCAAAATCAGGTTTAACTGAAAAAAATAGACCATGATTTTACAACTTTGTGTTGCGCGTAATCGTGGATAATTAAAATTCAACTGGTTGGTCTAACAAAAATCCACGTCTACACCAAGAAAGTATTTTGCAAAATTACGATTGCGCGCAACACAAAGTTGTAAAATCATGGTCTATTTTTTTCATGTAAACCTGATTTTGCAAAATACTTTCTTGGTGTAGACGTGGATTTTTATTAGTCCTACCAGTTGAATTTTAATAATCCACGATTACGCGCAACACAAAGTTGTAAAATCATGGTCTGTTTATTTCATGTAAATCTGATTTTGCAAAATACTTTCTTAGTGTAGACGTGGTTTTTTGTTAGACCAACCAGTTGAATTTTAATAATCCACGATTACGCGCAACACAAAGTTGTAAAATTATGGTCAATTTTTTTCAGGTAAACCTGATTTTGCAAAATACTTGCTTGGTGTAGACATGGATTTTTATTAGTCCCGACAGTTGAAGTTTATAAATCCACGATTAAGCGCAACATAAAGTTGTAAAATCCTGGTCTATTATTTTATGTAAACCAGATTTTGCAAAATACTTTCGTGGTGTAGACATGGATTTTTATTAGTCCCGACAGTTGAAGTTTATAAATCCACGATTAAGCGCAACACAGAGTTGTAAAATCCTGGTCTATTTTTTTCATGTATACCTGATTTTGCAAAATACTTTCTGGCTGTAGACGTGGATTTTTGTTAGACCAACCAGTTGAATTTTAATTATTCACGATTACGCACAACACAAAGTTGTAAAATCCTGTTCTATTTTTTTCAGTTAATCCTGATTTTGCAAAATACTTTCTTGGTGTAGACGTGGATTTTTGTTAGACCAACCAGTTGAATTTTAATTATTCACGATTACGCACAACACAAAGTTGTAAAATCCTGTTCTATTTTTTTTCAGTTAATCCTGATTTTGCAAAATACTTTCTTGGTGTAGACGTGGATTTTTGTAAGTCCAACCAGTTGAATTTTAATAATCCACGATTACGCGCAACACAAAGTTGTAAAATTATGGTTAATTTTTTTTATGTTAACCTTATTTTGCAAAATTATTTCTTGCTGTAGACATGGATATTTGTTAGTTCAACCAGCTGAATTTTAATAATCCACGATTACAGGCAACACAAAGTTTTAAATTCCTGGTCTATTTTGTTCAGGAAAACCTAATTTTGCAAAATACTTCCTTGGTGTAGACATGGATTTTTATTAGTCCCGACAGTTGAAGTTTATAAATCCACGATTAAGCGCAACACAAAGTTGTAAAATCCTGGTCTATTTTTTTCATGTAAACCTGATTTTGCAAAATACTTTTTTGGTGTAGACGTGGATTTTTATTAGTCCCACCAGTTGAAGTTTAAAAATCCACTACGTGCAACACAAAGTTGTAAAATCCTGGTCTATTTTTTTTATGTAAACCTGATTTTGCAAAAAAAAAAAGAGACGCCATTCAACGTAGTAATCTAAATAAGTAACGGTTGAATATATTTTTGATGAAATTTAAGTTTGAGGATTAAAATTAAATTTCAAATCGATTGGCGATCTAAAAAAAAAATATCAAAAATTTGTATCGTTGAAAAAATTTTTATATTTTGATTTTGAGCTTTCTGCGGGTAAAGTGAAATAAATTTTGACGACATCGGGTCTATGGAAGAAATTATAGAAAATTTAATTGGCTACAGTTTTCTTTTAGGGGTTTTTTATTTTTTGAAATTTTCTGCTAAAGTTAAAAAAAAATTCTTGCGGAAACGTAAATAACTACGCTCCAGATAAAGATTTGTAGAAATTATTTGCATGGCAGGTTAATTAATCAACTAATCATCTAACAAATCTGAAAATTTCTATGCTCTCAATCAACGCAAACTGCAAAAAAGTTTCATTCGCGCTAATTGCAAAAATCGGAACGCACGGCTGAGGAAGTGAGGAGACAACCACCCTTCCTTCTTCTTTCGCTCGCTAGAGTTCGCATGTTGGCGGCGACTGAGCTGCCACCTGGCTCTTTCTGGGGATAAAGTCACAACTAAAGGCCCATTGGCTTTCCTCTCTCTGTGTCTGTTTGCATGTACAACTACCTTCTGTCTTCTGTGACGTGAGACGTGATCACAACAACCCAACAGCCGGAAAATGGCGGACGACAACATTGATTTGTACGCCGACGATTTAGATCAAGATTTTTCGCAGGTTTGCTATTTTTCCGCTTCAATTATTACTGCTTGAGATTCTTTATAATAATTTTTGTATGAAAACCCCTATTGATCCAAATTTATCCTCTAATTGTGACCATTTTAGGCACTAGAAATTTCATGCTTGGAACTTCTCTAAAAACTCGGCTGATCTTATTTGTCCAGACCTCGCAAATCCCTCTAATGTGCCACTAAAAAGTTCATTTTCATTTCCTCCAGGACTTTGGTGCCGACGGTGTTGATTTGTACGACGATGTGATTGCTGCGCCGCAATCGAGTCTCGACGACAACGAGGAAAATGTACAGCCGCAACCTACAAACAATGGCAGCGGGCCGCACAACTCGCCACCCATGGAGAAGTACCAGCCATCGGGCGGCATGCGTGATAGTATGCGTGACGGCATGCGTGATTTGCGCGACCGAGACGGTGGACGTCGCCACCAACTCTACGTCGGCAATCTCACTTGGGTAGTAAAAGAAAATTTTAAAAGAATTTTACAAGCTAAATTTTGAATAATCTGCAGTGGACTACAGACCAAGACATCACAAACGCCGTTTGCGATATTGGCGTTAAGGACTTTTTAGAGGTCAAGTTCTTTGAAAACAGAGCCAATGGACAGTCCAAGGGATTCTGCATAATTTCCCTTGGCTCGGAGCAGAGCGCTCGCAACTGCATGTCTCGTTTGGGCGACAAGGAGCTGCACGGCCAAAAACCAGTCGTCACGTACCCTACAAAAGCAGCCTTGAATCAGGTCTGAATATCTGTCGCTTTCATTACTCATTCAGTTTTAACAATGAGACTTTAAATATTATCTGAGAAAGATTTATAAATTTGGTTTTAAATTTCAGTTCCAGTTTGAGGCTCAGTCTAAGACGAGACCGGCACCACAAATGTCTCAGCAGAGAGGAATGCAGCAAGGAGGAGATGGGGGTGGGCGAGGAGGCCCCCGAAATTTCAACAGAGGCCCTGGAGGTGGTCCTGGAAACCAGGGCCCTCCTCCTGGACCATCCAGATCTCATGGCATGGTAAGAAGAATTTCTAGTTTGAATTGATTATAAACTAATTCTATCATCGATTAAAAATCAGGGCTTTGCTCCGATGCAGCCATTCCAAATTCCGCCTCCCGGAGGTCCTCCGAGGGGTCCTCCTCCGGGTCAGATGCACCCTAATGACCCTCGAGGTCCTCCTCCCCGCGGCGATTGGAACAGGCCACCTGGTCCAGGCTTCCCGCCTCACCAGCCGCCTCCGATGCAAGGGCCGCCTCCGGGCCAAGGCCCACCGATGAGAGGCCCGCCCCCAGGCATGATGCCGCCCCAACTGGGGCCCCCTCCTGGACAGATGCCGGCTCCACATGTGAACCCGGCCTTCTTCCAGCCGGGAGCTGTTCCTCCTCACCAGGCGCCACCTCCGCACGCTGGAGGGCCGCATGGGCCTCCACACGGTCCACCACACGCTGCTCCACAAGGCTACGGACCTCCACCTACACAACCATGGCCTAGAGTGAGTTTGCTTAAGAAATCATCAATCCTGCCTTCTTCATTAATATTTAAAAGAATATTCCAAATAAAACATAAATTGCGATTAAAAAATTTAAAAATAATGATATGCTGTAAAAATTCGTTTAAAATTTTGGATTTTTTTATTCTTTGGAGGATTATTATAAAATTTGTTTTTAAGCTTATAAAGATTTGAAAGTTGTCAAAAGTTGTCTTCCATCAAAGGTGGAGTGTTAATAAACAACTCGATGTAAAAATAGCTTGGTAACTGGAAGTAATTTTTACATTTGGCTTATTTGCTAGCTAAGTTTACCTCTGAATATAATGTGCATCTTGTTAATTTTGTGGTTTTGTAGTCATCATGCTTAACTTGTGATTTTAGTATGGTCCTCCTGGTGGAGTTGACGGCGGTGCAGGAATAAGCGAAGTGGAGTTTGAAGAAATCATGGGACGCAACCGCTCGGTGTCCAGTACAGCCATCAGCAGAGCAGTGTCAGACGCGGCAGCTGGCGACTTCGCAAGCGCCATCGAGACCCTGGTCACGGCCATTTCGCTGATCAAGCAGTCCAAGGTGGCCAACGACGACCGCTGCAAGATTCTCATCAGCAGCCTGCAGGACACCCTGCACGGCATTGAGGCCAAGAGCTACGGCTCTGGCAGGAGAGGTTGGTTGAATTTTTCTTGTGATTGGCATAAATTGTGATCAAATTGTTCCAGAACGATCTCGCTCAAGGGACAGGTCACACAGACGCAGGAGGGAGAGGTCGCGAAGCCGAGAAAGAGATTATAGAGAGCGCAGCAGGGAAAGAGAACGGGACAGGTGAAGAATTTTTGAAGAAAATCTAGACTTGTTTTTGCTTACTTTTAATTTGATCAGATACTATGCAGAGTATCCAAGAGAACGGTCTCGTAGCAGGGAGCGCGAATACAGAGAGAGAAGTCGAGAGGACAGGTAAAAATCCTGCATTTTTAAATAAAACATGGATGAGGGGAAATAGCGAAGTTAAAATTCATGATAAAAAATAGCCTCTTCTTACTTTATCAATAAATTAGATTTTTATTTTCAGCTGAAAACTTGATGACTTAAACAAATGTATATAATTAAAATCAAACTTCTAATTTTTTTTAAATCTGCTCTTAAAATTAAAATTTGTTTGTTTTTGTTTTATTCCCAAAGCTAAAAAATTATAAATTTCTCAATTCATTTTCAATTAATTTGGATTTAATATATTCTCATATTTTATTCAAATCTTACAGCAGCTTTCAATCATTTACCATTTATAATTGCAGCTCTTCAAGGACCGCCGTTCGTCCGAGGCTAAAATCCAACGAGCCAGCCGAAGACCCTGCGTTGATGAATTCCAAATCCAGGTATTCCTCGTACAGATACTGAACCCCACTTTGTTGCTCTTAGTTCCACCAACGCAATGTTTCCTTGGTGAACAATATTGTGTTAATTTTGCACAATTATGAAGAACTCTGCTCTCCCTTATGTGCAAACAATTTTACCCGTTTGAAACTATAATGCAGCGAAAAAGAGGAGGACATCTTTGGCATGTTCACTATTTTTGTAACTGTGCTTCCTTCTGTCATTTGTCCCTGATTTTTAAACCAAGTTGACAAATATGGTAATTATTTTATAGAAAAAAATTCGTGTATATTTATAGCTGAACCAGTAGAGCCGCAGTTTAATGCATGCGAGTAATTCACTGCTCAAATGCCCACTGAAAATTATAAAAGCGAAATTTCGAACAAGTCATCTAATATTACATTTTTCCTATGATTTTAATTCTTCTAATTTTTTTACTAAGTCGGAAAGATTGATGGATTTTCAGTGTGGCAAAAATCATTATGTGAAACTGAAATGATGTGAGGAAATATTGTGTGAAATATTATAAGCATTCAACCAAAGCTTATTCAGTTATTGTTGTCTTGTGTTCAATGACAATAACTGCGCAGTTAGGAGGAACAAAGCCACAATTATTTGATGGCGCTTGTTTCTTTTTTGCCCATCCTGTTCCACATAATTAAGGAATATAATGTCAATTTTATATATTCTTAAAATTTTAAACATAGATTTATTTTTTGAAATGATTGTTTCATTCTCATGTACAGTATCTTTAAATTGGAATGATGGATATTTCATGTGAGAAGAGTCATTGTAAATTCAAAACGATCCCCGATAGAAAAAAAATGAAAGACCCTCCAAAATAGAAGTGGCTGATCAAGCAAAACTGAGTCTGTCAATGTGCGTGATTGGATTGTTTTCAGCAGTCGGTACTACGAAGAGCGCTACCGGGAGCGGGCGGAACGTGACGCACGTCGAGAACCAGAACGAGAACGCGAGCGGCGCGAAGAACGCGAAACCACCCACCGCTCAAGACACTGAACGAAGCTGCTGCAAATCAAGAGAAATAAAGTATTGTCGGTACTTTTAATCATTAATCCTTTTCAGAGTTGTTTAGTGAAAACATTCGATCATGATTGTTTCGGGATGGAAAATTATTATTCCAGCTAAGCAAAACAAATCTTCTGTGTAGTTCAATTAAAACACACTACTTGATGTCCTACTTGTGAAATTGGCTTATTTTATCAATTGAAACCTCTAATATTTTTTAAATGTTTGAAGCTGCGTAGAATTTTATCGGAGTTTGCACAAAATGTTTTACCTCCACTTGGAACTGATGTGAAGAACATTATATATTTGTAATATAGCTCAAGATTGTACTCGATGCGTCCGCTGGAGTGTCCATTTTTGCAGGTAACTCAATTTTCTTGTGATTTGTTAAGACTGAGTGAGGTCAACTGAAATTTGCTGAAATCTGCTTTCAGAAGTTGACTTAAATTTTAAAACCTGTCAAAAGCAGGTACACCTATCTTCTCCTGTAATGTAAAACAGATTTTTGTGCACAAATTTTTAAATGCAATTTATTGAAAACCATAAAAAAATTATTTTTGCTTCACAATGGTTCTTTGGAACGCTTGGTTACAGTTCCGTAATTGTAATGGAACTTTCATTTGTGAGTATGTTTTAAATACTTAAGAATAATAAGAATTTAAAAATTTAGCTCTCAATGGTAAAAATAATTATTTATATTGATAATATTATTAGATTTTAAATAATGATAGTGTGCTCTCTTTACGACTTCATAAAATATATGCTCTGAGCTGATAGCAAATTGCGGAATTTCAAAGGAAATTTAAAGAATCGAGGAACGTGTATAATTACAGCTACAACATTAACATTACTTATGAAGCAATTTTATAGGATAAGTGAATGTTCTATTTTTTTTACACAAAAATTTGCTCAAATTTGTTTCAATATTCTTGTACAAACTGCATTTAATGTCACTTGCAAAATAGAGATAATTCTCGTAAAAAAAAAATATTTATAACTGTTAACTCTACATAAAGAACTAAAAGTTTTGTAACATTTTTCAGATAACTGTTCAAAAAGTATGTTCTTCTCTTATTCATAATTAATGCAATGAGTTGTAAATAATTCCAAAATCTCAATTTTCATAAGAATCTATTCTTCCATTGCTTAAATTTCGATGAGCAGGAAGTTTGTTACAAGGAATGTCTGAAATATAATTAATTAGTTGAAATAGATTGCCTTGTCTAATGGGTAAGGAATAAACAATCTGTACCTCAATGAGATTTGATATGAAGCAATAATTATTAATTTCATTATGACCAAAAACTTGTTTTGTTTTTTTGTTGCTTTTATTTGAACATGTTCCATGTCTATTATTTTGACAATATTTATATTAATTAAATAAATTTCCAGGCTCAAATCTGAAAGAAAACTCTAGTCAAGAGGCCAAGAAGATCCGAAGAAACAGACTGTGATACACAATTTATTATTTTTTTTTTAAATAAAAAAAAGACTGATTTTTCGCATTTAAATACTTTTTTTTTATTAAGAACCAAAATTTACAAACATGAAGGGGATCTTCTTGTTCATTCATCTTCACTCAAAAACGACCCCCGCGCAATTGTTAAATTGATGCAATTATTATCAATACACTTTACAATAATATCATCTCATCCAATCGTGAATAATAAATTGATAGGGGCATTTTCGTCGAAGATTTTTGACACAGCAACAAACAGTAGTTTTGCACAAATTAGTTTCTTGTTCACAAAGCTGGCATTGGCGTAGGTAGGATTCATTAAATTTAAAATATATTTATTCAGTAGTAATTTGTTGTATAGCAGAAAGGAATAATTTTATGTAGTTGTGTGTCTGTGATGAATCAAGCGTGATGGGAATTTTAAAAACTCATTGCTCTTATACTGTTGAATAAAATACAGGGTGGAAATGAACACTTGACTTGTTGCACGGTAAAATACTACTAATTCAGTCAAAAGTTTTTTTTTTCATAACAAACCACGGCGTTTGCAGTTCAGACACCATCCAGCGTGGAAAAAGCAAGACTTAATTGGTCAATACGATGGCAGAATGAGAATTTAGTCGGTCCATATTAATTTGTCCTGGGAAATTTGAAATTCTAATTTTACGGTGCAGAGAACAATGAGAGAATTTTAAAATCGAAGTGGCCAGTTTGATAATCATACTCCACACCGATGGAAACAAAATTATCAGTTGACACACGTTCAAATATAGTAATAAATTGATCACGAGTTTGACAAATAGCTTGCAAGCACACCGCTGGATTGATTATGGAGATAAATTTTCCTTTTTTTCTTGTGTACAATGTCCTCTCGGGTTTACATGATTTTTAGCTATTTCTCTTTTTAAATATAATCCATAGAGAATATTTGCTTAGTAGTTCATTCTCTGATCTGTCTTAATTATGTTCTTTTTAATATATAACAACACTATCCATTCAAATATCACAACAATATACGCGAAATCAGCGAGTTTTGTTTTACTTTTTCCTTCTCGTTTAGTCTTTCCGTCACATGATCAGAAATTGTGATGTTGTGGGTTCTTCCTTCTTGGTCGTCAGCAGCCTCTTGTCTTCGTGGAATGCAATGGAAATCTGTATTACTAATTCTTCTTCAACTCACAGAGGCACACGCTCTTGACAAAGAGGGTTAATTTTTTACAAAGAAGAAAAGCGCCCGCTGATTGAGATTAAGTGTCCACTGGCACTCGGTCGCACGTATAAGATACACCTCATCATTGGTCTTTGCGTAAATTCATTAATATGTACACGTCAACGAACTGTTCCCATGAGAATCTCTTTCCTGTCACAAGTTCAGTCTTTAGCACCGTGGACTTGGCAGCCGGATTGGCCCTTACAGGATGCAGCACGATGCTGAACAGCAACTGCTACTCCCGCCCTTGCTCTTCTGTCGTTGATCTGGAAAAAAAAATATGTGAATTAAAGTCAATAAAAAATATTAATAAAAAATATTAATAATAAATAAATTTAAAAAAAGAAATTATGAAGAATGCAGGAAAAAGAAAGAAACTTGATTAGAGTTTTATCAAATAATCATTTGAAAAAATTTAAGATAAAAGATAAAAAAAATTGAGCAGGAATTATTATTGGATGAATCATAAATTTCACTCTTGAATAAATTGAAAATACTGAGATTTATATAAATATGGAAATTGCAAATTTAAAATTTTAGAGTAATTAAATTAAATTTCAAAATCAAGTGATAAACGTAACAATCCAGTGATATTTTTGATTGCAAACTTTTGCCGCCAGTCAAAAAAGTTGGTCCTTTGAACTCACCTTGGGAGTTTGGCTCAGGAAGGTTCTCTCTGGGCACGAGGTGCATGACCGTCGTCTTGCCCAGGGGCAGACCCAGCGCGCCGAGGGTGACGTTGCTGTGCAGGAAGCGGCCCTGGTAGATGAGGCGCAGGATCTCCGCCTTGGCCACCGCTTCCTCGGCCCAACCTGCGAACACACAAACGCCTCCATTAGTCCCAAGCGAGCAAGTGACGTCAGTCCCGAGGTCGTAACCTCGGTGACCAAAAAGAAGTGCGCGCGATCGGCGCCCACATCACAGGTAATTATTTTTGATGCGTGCACGACCGACACGGAAGTTTTGGTTTGCTCTTTCAAGGTTATTTTTATGCTCATCACTTTTGCCCAAAATTGAAAAAAAAAAATCAATCTTTCGTTGGATAATTTTTTTTTAATTTCTTTTAATATTTGAAAAGAAAACTGCATATTAAATTAGTAAAATGAATTTCGGGAAAAATGCACGCTTGAGTTTGAAGGGTTGATTCATTGGTTAAGAATGGAATTCGGCAGTTCCTAGAATGGACTTTTTAGCGTAGAAATATATTTTGATTGCATTCAAAGCTGAAATGAGCAGGGAATATTTCACTTATTTAACTTTGAAAACAAAAAAGGAGAGCCAAGGTTGGTGTCAAATCATCATAAAATTATAAATTCAATATTAATTGTTACTTCAATATAGAAATTTTAATTATTAATTAAATATGTTTGAATAATGAATAGAATGAATATATAAACGAATCCTCCTCTTTAACCTAAAGCAAAATTTTTCTCATTGAAAGTTACTACAATAAACTTCATTCAGCTTGATCCACACGACGGCGATTGTAAAGCACGCCATTATGATTTTTTTTCATTGTGATCAGACTCGTGCAACTGCTGGAAAAAGGAAAATGCGCAGCTGATTGCTGGCGTCGTCATTCACGCACGAATCAGCTGCGTTCGACTTTTGTATTTAGCGGATTCGCGAAAAGCAGCTGAATCGCGGAGGCAGATGGCTCGAGATGCCGCGGGCGGAATTGGATTAAAAAGAATCGAACTCACCTTCAGGCCAGTTGTCGAATACATGCTGCGCGATGTCGCCGGCCGACTCGCTCGGACTGAAGAGAAACTCTTTCGTCTTGCCACTGACCAATATTAACCGCAAGTTGATCTGAAACAAGATGCGAAAATTGGATTAGGAAAAAATGGTTAAAAATTGTGCTTTAATTAAAATCGTTAAACTGGTAATAAAGTGAATGGAAAATTTGATTCCTCATTATTGTCTCCTACAAAAAGAATCGAGTAGGAAAGATTTATTGTGCGGAAGGAAATAAGACCCGTCAAAAATCCATGTTTACCAGAAATGTTACTTCAAAGAATATGTATAGGAAGCGTGTGAATAATATGCGAAAAGTGACTAACTATGCACGATTCCATTTTTAAGAACTCCTGAAAGACATATTAAAATTCAGTCTATACAGCTATGGTGGTGAAAATTTCCAAATGTTTTCCTGTAAATTCCAATAATGGTTCCTGATTTGACTACGTCTTAATTATAATTATCAAAAAAATTTATTTATGCTTATGGAATATAATTTTTTGACCAAAAAAATTGCAATTGAATTTCGTTTCCAGTAAAATAAGGGAAAAATTCTTGTATTCATTAGTGTGGAATTTTGAATATGCCAGTGCACGTGGAGGGCTCTGAAGAATTCCCACTTATTTCATGCACGCCAGAAAATATTCTTGGCGTGCAATTTACGGCTGATCGTGCTTTCAGATGTGGCAATTCTCTCGGTTTCGGCGACAAACTCGGCTCACGATCATGATCAGCCTTGAGTGGTGCGATGCATGTGAAATGAAAGGGCGGTCGAAGGTGTGGTTTTCTTGTATACTTGGCCATATCCGTGTGCCTGCCTGCGTCCATCTGGGGAGCAGATGGTCACATTGACGCGTGACTCGCTTGTTCAATTTTTATTATTATTTGTTCTCCATTTTCGCATCCAAGTAAAAATTATTTCCAGTCCGGGCTCCTCCCCATCCAACGATTGATCTCAATGGGCATTAACAATCAGGCTGATTTACGTGAGCGGATAGTCTGTTGACCCCTCGTTCGCTCAACTCGGCTCGGCGCTAATTCAATCAGGGAGCACGGAAACCGAGGCGGCATCAGATTATGCAATTAAAGAAATTAAACGTCCTTGTGCGTGTCCGTGATTTTATTTTTTCACGTCGAATGTTGCATGAGATTGATGCACTCGAAGTTAACTCCCGTTTTTTTATAATTTATAAATTTTTTGATTCAGAAACCTAATGAAACGCTAAAAATTTAGTGGTGAATCTGGTTTATTTTCATATCAATTCAAAATTTGCCATTTTATTCACGCTTCGATAAAAACTGTAAAACTAATTTTTCAAAATTTAGATTTTTCATTATCGCGAGGGTTTCATAATTGGATAAAACTGGGGAAGCATAGCTGCTCATTATGAAGTCGCAAGCACATGATTAATCACCGTGGCAAAAATCTTTTCCGTCGATTGCAATCAGCGGAGGCTGTCGCGTTCCAAGAATGCAAACGAGCCGCTTTGATGTTTATTGCCAATCGGGAAACAGACGCAGCATCAAACGTATAGTTTTTGTTTTTGCGAGAGGCAATCAGAAACAAATTATCAAATCCTGTTTCCACGGAAAAAGAATTCAAATGAAGGAGAGCAAAAAGGCGCAAAGAACGTCACAACATTTTTACAAGCAATCGCAAGCATACAGAAATAATTTGAAATTGATGCCAATCAGAAAAGAACAAACAAAACACATTGAGGTGTTTCAGGACTGTGAGGCATGACGGATTGTTTGTACTTGAAAACACAATCGAGACTCTGTTTGTTTTCATTTACAATTTAATTTTTTACGAACAACACATTTTGCAATTTATGCAGTTTTCTCATAAATGGATTGACCTAATTAATTGCAAATTGTGTTTATTTAAGTATTAAAGCTACTTTATTGTAAAACTAAATGATTTTTTAAAAAATATTGCATATTTTTAAACTAAATCTAATTTTTTGACAGTCCTAATTCCAGAATTATTCATACTAAGTGAATAAAAATAAACTTTATTACAAAATGATACAAAAAATGCGGTTTTCAAAATGAATTTTGAATAAAAACTATTCTTATTATTTAAATTTTTAGTTTTATATAAACATTTCGGCCAAAGTGCAGTTGTATCGAGTAACAACTTTACTGCGTAATGATTTTGATTTGTCACAGTTTGCAGTTAGATCACCGCGCTATGTGTGTATACGGAGTTGATTTTCCGACTGGCCGTGAGTGTGCAACAATTTCGGTTGCACTCGGTGCACAGATGTCGAAATCAGCGTGGCGAGCGGCGCGATTCGCTAATTGCCGCGATTCTGGCAAGACGCGGAGGCAAAGTCCCGTTCGCCGGCTCGACTCGCTGGAGCGTGCACGTCCCAATGGATGGTTGCATCTCCGCTTTAATTGCAGCTCAAAACTGGAATTGTACAAAAAAAGAAAAGAGTCGTTCGTAGAACAAGAAGAGAGAAAGACAAAAACGTGAGGCTTTGAATTGAAACGCGCCAACGTGATCAAATTTAAACACGTGGGAAAGACAAGAAGAATAACAATTATCGCTCTCGCGTCTAATCGAGTGTTAAACTGGTGCACATGAACGCGAGTGACGTCACGAGTCCATTGAGAAAGATTTTATTTCTCAAACGTGGAGGGTCGCTCGAAATGGGTCCTTCCAGAAATAGAAACGCAGCTCGGGACAATTTGATTTATCTGCCCATCTTGCACACAAAATTAGACGCTTTCAGATTTAAATGGGACACAAACGCAACCGGCCATTTTGGCATGCTCGCTCATAATTAGCATTTATTTAAAGGTCCCCTTAACGTTAGGTTAGGGTTGTTTTCTTGTCGACCCGAGTGACGACAGCACTCCAATGATGTCGTAGGAGAAAACTTCTTGTTTACAATTAGTTGGATAATATGTGGTCATCACTGTTTTAATTAAGGGAGAATCTAGTCTGATTGTGTTAACATGGCTGGGTGCACGTAAGCGAACGACGGCGCAGAATAAAATTGATTCCTGTTGTCGGACGAGAAAAGCGAGAATGGAGCAGCAATGACGTGCAAGCGACCATTTAAAATTACAAACCGCTCTGATCGCAGTCAAGAGTCGGAGGCGGCGGCGTAACTAGGTTGTGGTGCAATGAAATATATGCGAAAGAATCGATTGCATTAAGCCTGCACACACACACACACTCGACTTGGTGTGGTTTCACATGTGACAAAGAGCACATAAAAGCAAAGAGAACGAACTCGTCGTCTGCAGCTCACTAATGATCCTCGTACCTGCTTATTAAATTACTCTTGGCATATTGTAAAAGTAATTGTCACTTTCATTTTTAAATCCTGCTTGTCTCAACTATTAAATGTAATTAACTTTTTTTTTAAAGTATTTGTATAATTTTTATTTCTGTACTCACTTGATCTAAATTTTCATTTCTTTTAATAAAACTAGTGGCGGCAAAATTGAGCAAGCAAAAGTGCAAATAAGCGTTTTTCCACGTGTTCCAAAGGAGCGATTATATAATGTGCTGTCCGTTGCACCAAAACAAAAGCGAAAGCCTGTTTGTGTCAAGTGTCGCTTCAATGGGGGTGCAGATCGTGTGAGAGAATCAATCGAATTTGCTGGTGAATTCTCTTGGCAGCACCTCGATCGCTGGCCTGAATTCCATGCATCGACGGCCAATGTCGCCGAGCACCACAATCGACTTTTGCAACTTCTGACGCGCATTCAGTGGGGCAACGAATTCGGTCGTGGCGGTAAATGCACGCCACGTTTGGAAATCATAAACAATCCATTATTTTTATTCGCTTCTAATTAGTTTTTTTCCAACAGATATTTAAATTGTTTCCATCAAAGTTTTGCGCCTTTCATAAGGATTAATTTTTTTTAAAAGAGATCCATATAATTATACAAAGACAAAATAGTAATTGCAATGACATTTTTTTTTATATTAATTGCTTTTACTGGAAAAAAGTATATTAGATTTAAAAAATTGCCTTATTTTATAGAGTCGCCGCATAATTTCCTACGTCAAACAATGGTGAAACAGCCCATTAAAGGAAATTTACAATTAGTTCCTTTTCAAACAACAATTTTAAATGGCAAATTTCTTCACCTTCCTGCAATTGATATTTCAACCGGGAAATTTGCGTTACCAATTAGCCACATCCAAATCAGAATATCACAACAGTGGTGGATTTTATAATTTAATTTAAAATCAGCTAATTAATCAATTCGCGTCAATTAGCGAGGTGAAAGCGTCAGCTGGGAAAAACAAAGCCACTTTCCAAGAGAGCTTCTTTCTCTCCTTGTTGACGCATGAATTAAATTTTATACACAACAGCTCGGTGCAAATTACCCACGGGAAGCGGCGGCGCGGCGGCGCCTTGTTGCCTTTGCACCTGTCGCTCTCTACGTAAGCGAGAGAAAAATAATTGTCTCTTTCATTTTGGGTAAGCCCTGCTCATATAATAGACTCCAAAAATATTTCGGCTGCGATAATGTCAAAGTGGGCCACATTGTATTTCTGTTCGTCCGGCGAGCGGCAAAATCAATATCAGACGGCGCAGCGCAAATAGCGTAATGGCATTCGGCACAGGGGCTTCGCTATTATAATACACTCCAAACGCAAACGGCTCTCCGAAGACACCCGCGGTCAACACAAAATTCAGTCTGCTGCATTATTCAAGCCAAACGAATGCGCTGTTAAAACGAATTTATTTTGCAACGCAGGAAAATGTGGAAAGTATTAACAATAAAAAAAGCGTAATATTATCGTTTGAAAAGGAAACGGGAAATGGAGGCACAGATTAATTTTGGTTGAAATGTGCCTGGCACTGCTTGAAGTTGATTACTCAAAGTTTTATCAGGCGGAAATATGCAATTATTTTTAATTATGTTTCACATTTGGCAGTCAAAATCTATAGCTTGAATGTACTAAAGCTATAAAAAAACTCTTTTGTGCTTTTGGATCACCTTTGTAAAAATCTTCATAAAAAATATTTAACAATTTTAATTAACTTAAACATAAATAATACTTCCTTAAATTTGCATTATTTAATTGCGACTATAAT